TCCTGTCCAACTTTGACTATATAGTATCTTCCCATCCTCTTACTGTAAGAGAAAACTGAGTATTTTTGAAGCTAACTGCAGTAGATCACTAGTTTTCTAAGGAAAACACTGAAAATATCGTATATAAACACATAATAAATCATAATACACTACGGAATGTAAAGAAATAATAAACTGTTTATATAAAGTGTATATGTACTTACACACTTTGAGCAGAGATGGTGGCAGAGGTTGAGTGTGGAGGAGGTTGAGTGTAGGGGAGGTTGAGGGTGGGAGATTCGCAGTGTGGCATGTGGTGTTAGTGGCCCTGTAAACCTCCAACAACAACATTGTTTTGTTTCATCACTGAACTTACTCATCAATTGTTTTATCACTTACGAACATATGTTTTATTAATCACGACCAACTGATGGCAATTGTTTGGCCAAACATGAACAAATTGATACAATTTTTTTGTTTAACCTTTCAGGTCAAGCCAATTACAAGTGCAACCAGGTTCAAGATTTCCAAAATTGTTGGTATTTTTTCTTATGAACAGGTAGGAATCTTTCTGAAGGTATAAGCAAAAGTTATGTAATTTGGAATGGAAGAGGAAATAAACAAGACAGAATTAGAACGAAATGAAGAACCAAGCGGCGTTTTTGACTTTGACTCCTTTTGTAGCCAATTACCTATTAAGTAAGTCAGCAAATTCTACTTTACACTAGTTGCTATTTTATCGAGAGCAAAAAAAAAAAACGTACCACAACTATTCCAACTAAAACAATGAATGGAAATTGTAATTTGTCATATAGTGCAAAGTTATAATTTCCAATTTCAAATGTGGGTCCAAATAATACAATGGATTCCCCTGAACTTAACTTACATTTCTTGTTCATTAATGATACAATTTTCGCTTTAAATGAATTCAAATGATATTTATTTATGAATTTTAATAACACAAAAATCAATTTGTTATTGTTTAACCTTTCAATGTCAACAAATTATCAAATATACAGCCAATTTGTCAAAAATATTTTAGTATTTTTCTACACTGGTATAGAATGTGAGTCATTTGTATAAAGCCTTAAAATATGCAATTTTGAAAATTGACTGAATTATGCTTTCGCCATTTTCAGTGATAAAACATCAAATACGCTCGCGATTTCTGTAAAATATCTCCATCATTTTAAGGCCAAAAACTTTCCAGTAACCAATTTTTACATACAAAAAATCTATTTTTCGATTAGCCAAAAATCGCAACTAACTATTTCAACTACAAAATAAGTGAATGGAAATGGTAATTTGGTCAATATAGTGCAAAGTTCAAAATATTCCAATTTCAAAATTGGGTCCAGAATAAACAATGCAGGCATTCCTGGCACTAAACTAACATTTCCTCTGTTCATTAGTTATGTTTTCAGGCTTTACAAATGAATTCCATATTGATTTTTAGTTCACATAATGAATTTTTATTCAAACCAAAAAATAGAAGATATACTGTCATGCAATACTGTAATAATTATATAAATAATATCAGCACATTTGTGAACATATATTAGATTCACCAGCTGGCGTGCACTAGACATGTGAGGTCATTTGTTTACTCTTGAACATTGGCAAATATTTAACATTTCTGCTACTTTGAGCTCAGTTTCAAGCCATTTTCAGTACTAAAACCAATCAAAATCATCTCTGTTTCTGTAAAATATCTTCCATTCTATCAAATGAGACCAAGAAATCGCAAATACAACTATAATAAACATACGAAAAAACACTGCAAAGTTGCTGGTTTAACCCTTAAACGGTCCAAACGTATATATACATATGTTCTTACACGTAGCGCCCCAAACGTATATATATGCTTTAATTTTCCTGCCTCCAAATTTGGCACGATTGCCCTGAGATGCCTGGTCAGCATAGAATGGGTCTTAACACTCGGTGTGCATCATATTAAAAAAATCTGGGAGCACTTAGTACCTTGTGGGAGTGCCAGTTAAACTGAGCACCAGCTAGAGCAGACAGTGCAGCAAACACCAAGGATTCACTGATGTAATGTCATATTAACACTCCTCTTTTAAGAGGAAAGTGATGTTAACCCCAAGTTTAGGGTCTGTCAATCTCTGTCTATCTTTGTATCTCTGTCTATCTCCATCTGTCTCTGTCTGTCTCTGTCTAACTGTGTCTGTCTCTATCTCTTTCAATCTGTCTCTGTCTATCTCTTTCAATCTGTCTCTGTCTATCTCTTTCAATCTGTCTCTGTCTATCTCTTTCAATCTGTCTGTCTATCTCTTTCAATCTGTCTGTGTCTATCTCTGTGTCACAGGTACACATAAATACAAGTATACATAGTGTAAATTACCTAGGATAACCCAAAAAATCCAGACAAAATGCTATACTCTGCTTAAAGATGTGAGTAAGTGTGATGATGCAATCTTGTGGCTCTCTCTGAGATAAGGAGCTAGACGGATAGACAGATAAACAGGGAGCTCGACAGACAGACAAATAGACAGACATGTTTGTATACCAGCGAAAACAAAGAGAGGGTGATGCTCATCAAAATGTCACCTCTAATCTTTTCTTATCAAGTGCTATCGCTGCACCCTCAAGTATGCTCATCAAATGTCAGCTCTTATCAAATGTTATCTCATCTTATCATGTCACTGTCAGGGGTGGACTTTGTTTTTCATGCTTCAAGGGAACTTATTATTTTATTATTATTATTATTACGTATTCTTCTCCTCCTCCTCCTCTTCCTTCTCCTCCTCTTTCTCCCCCTCCTCCTCCTCCTTCTCCTCCTCCTTCTTCTCCTCCTCCTCCTCTTCTTCCTCCTTCTCCTCCTCCTCTTTCTCCTTCTCCTCCTCCTCCTCATTATCATTATAACTTCCACATATCCAAAACATTGCTGGGACATATAAATGCTTTGTATATATTCCACGACAATATTAAATGGCCAAGGCAGGTGTAAATGTCCACCTGTCAATGTGTTTGTGACAATTTGAGTACAATTTCAGTACCTAATACTAGTGTCAGATCAAAGAATGGTTATGAAATGACAAGAATTACTATAAATTGTAATTATCAGAACATAAAAATTATATAAAATAATATGAAAAATAGAAAAAAAGGTATATCGGCAACACTTCTGCAAGCAGCAGGACTCCATGTTGCCATCACATAAGCATCCAGTGCCAACTTCTCAGCCTCATATCTCTGTAAGTACTGACCCTAATTTTTTTTTCTAAAACACTTAAAAAAATGTGCCCTTTTTTTTCTATAAAAATAATTTTTTTTTTTTTTTTCAAAATATTCGAGGCGCTGCACAGATGAACATATATATATACGTTTGGACCGTTTAAGGGTTAATCGAAAATTACAGTCTCAGTTTTTTTCTCTCATTATGCACTGTGTGCTACAGGATTTGTTTTATGTGGTGCACACATACCACATACATGTCTTCTCTCATAACTAGGCTCAAATTTACCACTCACAGCTTATCAGAGTGAGCTGAGCTCATGGCATAGATCTACGGTTTGGACCCTCAACGTAAAGCCGTAGATCTACGGCACGGACCCTGACAGGGTTAATCACTGAACATAACTGATACAATTTTTGTTTAACTTTTCACTTTTTTCACTTGTTCTTACTTTTCGTCGATTTTTGGCCTTTTCTTCACGCTTTCCTCACTGTCCTCTGCAGGGTGTTTCAATAAAACCTGTCCAAGGAGGTCTGTTTCAGCCTCCCTTTCAGAATGTTTTGGAAATGAGTAAGGCAAGTGTCATTAAATAGCACCAATGAATGACCAGTTGCAAATTTCTCTGGGTGTTTTGTTGCAATAAACTCTGAAAGTCTCTCCCAGATTACCAACATTTCCTTTATCTCATCTGGTTCCTCTGCAGTACGAATGTCCTTCAAAACTTCGTGATGCTGCTGCATATGTAGTTCATCTAGCTCCTCTGTTGTCAGCTCCTCAAACTGAAGCTCTATTGATATTATAATTATTATTATTATTATTGTTATTATTATTAATTATTATTATTATTATTATTATTATTTTTATTATTATTATTAATTTAGGGAACTAGAGCACACATCCAATTCCCTAGCTCAAGAGCCCCCTCACCAACGTCAAGAAACCTTGACGCTGGTAAGGGGCTTCAGTTCCCTAAATTATCAATAATAATTATAATAATAATAATAATTATTACAATAACGACAGAGCTTCAGATCCCTAAATTAATAATAATAATAAGTACATTATTATAACAACGAGAACTTCAGAATGAAGCCAACTTAGTGCACTGTTTACCTAGCTGTGAGAGCAGTTCTCTCCTGCTTTGCTTAGATTTTTGACAGTCATTTGACCAAATTTCGCTTTTTTAACCATGGATGATTTCCGTGGAATTAAAGCATGAAATCGTAGATAAACAAGAGAGGTGTCCAGGTTTTGGGTTGAGGGGGAAGTGGGGGGGGAGCTGGCTCGTAATTCAGAGCAAAAAATCTATCGATCGACAGCTCTTATCTCAAAACACTCGTACGTTGGGACACTTGTAAGTCAAGGTTCCACTGTATCCCCACCTGATGTAAAATATCAGGCTCTGTTACTTGATGATAAGTACTAGGTTTCTAGATAATATCTATAGAGGTGATAGTGTTTTGTCATACAGGCAAAAAACATAAATCTGTTAACCATGTTGCACTCTGTCAGGACTGCTGTTTTTTTTCTTTCAGTTTTACGATAATTTAAGTTGGCCAGTAACTCTTATCAATATCTATTAACATTAAATATAAAATTAGCTTTGTTATCCTGAGCGCATCTTAATAGTTTTCAATCCTGTAATGTTTCCCATCCAATTTCCATTGAAAAGTGAGATAAAATCCATCCCTACAGTAACAAACATTCATGAAGGCGACTAAAATACTGAGAACAAGGAGCCAGTTGCCTAATCCTTCATGTAATTATTGAAATTTAATTTTACAAAATGGTCTATTAATATCTTTACCTAACAAGAGGCACTTACGCAGGTGCAGACGTGATATTTTCAGAACCAGATCCAATTGACCAAGGTAGTGTAGCACTATCTGTGAAGAAATTCTCCCATTCACAGGCTTCTGTTTCATCATCAAAGCTGCAGGTAAGGGATGCTGGACATGGGCCACTAATGATAGCCACATCATCCAACTTTATTTCATCTTCAGGGTTGCCAGTGTGGGAAATGATCCATATCTGAAGGGATGAAGGTTAGACATAATTATGTACATTACTGCTGACATGTTTATGAAAAAGTAACATCACATGGTATATAAAAGAAGTAAAGTGAAGAATGAAGTTACTGCAGAAAAACATTGAATGACAAAAAACGGTTAAGGCATATTATATGAAAAAAAAGGATAACAGAAAACTTGATTGAATATTTCATTTCATATCAATTTTTTTTAACATGCTGGCCATCTCCCACTGAGGCAGGGTGACCAAAAAAGAAAACACTTTCACCATCATTCATACTATAACTGCCTTTGCAGAGGAGTGTAGATATGACAGTTTAGATGTCACTCTAAACAGCCAATATTCCATACCTCAACTTCCAGGACTCAAGTTAAATACTAAGAGAGAAATACTAACAAATCTGTAAACCCTAAGGCAGCTGGGATGGATAAAATCACTATAAAATTATTAAGGAATTATAGTATAATATATTACAAGTTGTATATGGTACAAAAATATCAATTCAGAAAATACCTGGACAGAAAAAAAATAATAATAAGTACCTAAAGACTAAAAATATGCAAACATCACCCCAATCTTCAAGAAAATATATATTATATATGCATAACAGAGAACTAGTGTTCATTCAGTACCACCTTCCAAACCTGGAACCTCCTGCTGATAATTATAAGAAACACTAACCAACCATATCAGTCCACAATCTAATCAAAGCATCACATCTTAGATTTATGGAAAAATATTTGTTTCCTAATACACTTATTTAAGCTATGGTTTGGAACTACTCCTCAGCAGAACTTGGAGATTAGTGTGTATTTGACACTACAACTTATACATACCACAGAATAAGTATGGGCTCCAAATCAAGTATGGGCTCCAAATCAAGTATGGGCTCCACATCAAGTATGGGCTCCACATCAAGTATGGGCTCCACATCAAGTATGGGCTCCACATCAAGTATGGGCTCCACATCAAGTATGGGCTCCACATCAAGTATGGGTTCCACATCAAGTATGGGTTCCACATCAAATATGGGCTTCACACTGGTTCTGAATATTCTATGATGAAACTATTATACATTATGCAGAGTTCTAAAAACTCTCTATTTTTTTACTGAGGTTATTGAAGGGTACTGTGAGACTTTCTAACTTCACATATGTTGCCACTGTTATATGATTGATGTGCTTCTCTAGAGATATGCTTGGTGTGTACAGTACATGACACAGATGAAAAAAAGATTCACAGTAATGCAAATATCATTACAGTACCTGGTATTCAGAGACACTGAACAGGCTAAGGTGCTGGATATACCAGTCCAAGAAGTTCATTCCTCCTCCACGTCTCCAAACAGTCTCGTTACTTTGTTCACTAATTATGGCAATCTCAAGGCTTCCTTTACCAATGATGAAATACCTATGGGCGATATTTTATTAAATTAGCTCTACCAATGATAAATATAAATATAAATACAATAGCATTATATGTTAAACCATTATTAATGCTATTAAATATTTACCGAAATGAAACACAGAATCCAACAGAAGCAATCCGCTGCTGTGTTTCTAGAACGGCTGTTTGGTTTTCATTGTCTCCATTAGCAGTCATGAATGTATCTGCAATTAAAGAAAAAAGTTATACTGCTAAATAACATGTATGAATTAAAAAATTTAGCAATTAACCCTTTACTTCTATATTTAACAAAATATAACATGAGGATAAACTTACTATAATATTCAACATAAGGTTCCCAGTCCATGTCATCTTTGTGGCTCTGATAGAGGTTGCAAGGCTCTGAGAATGAGCACTTTATGTCTTCCTGTAAACAAGTAGACAAAGAATAAAATATACTGCATATTTTTTTTTCATAAACCAAAAAGTGAAGCTGTGTACAGCAAGATTTTAATTCTCATACCTAATGATCTGACATACAGTACATACATAATGGTGTAATGTAAGATAAAAGGAACCTTAAGAATGCATAAGTCACCCATTTATTGTGAAGACTTTCCACATGAATACCTATTCGAGATTACTAGTTGTATCTATCTCAGTTACATTTCCTCATATATAACAAAGAGGGCCTTCAACACCCTCCCTTCCTCCAAAAGTCAGATTATTAACAGACTCCCAGCTGTTCTCAAGAAAGTGCCTCAAGTCAGTTTCTGATCAGCTGGGCTGTAATTTATGAGCTGGATCATGTGTGGCTAGCACCAACAGCCTGGTAGATCAGGCCATTCACTGGGAGACCTGGTCTGAAATCATCTTCAGAGTTTAAGCTCTAGTCAATATGTTTTAAAATAATTAATATGTTGAGATAAGTGAAAATTTTGAATTACTGAGTACTATTGAAAAGACATGATGATAATAAAGAAAAAATGAGATAGGATACCAACTTAAACTGGTAAATAAACCAAAATAAAGTATAAACAATCAAGAAAACATTAAGAATACGTGTATCTGTTTGTGTTCTTTATTTGATTTTCTTTTTTATGTATTCTTATAATCCATACTATGCTATTCACTCATTTATCCATACCTCACCTATGCTATTTGTGCTTGGGGTTCAACTGCAGCAATACACCTAAAGCCAATAATAGCTCAACAAAAAGCTGCAGTAAGAATAATCACTAAATCCCATCCCTGGCAACACACCCCCCCACTCTTCATAGATCTAAACTTACTCCCTGTTCAGTACATCCACACTTACTACTGTGCAATCTACATATACAGGACCTTAAATTCCAATATTAACCTTGACCTAAAATGCTTTTTTGATAGTTGTGACAGGACCCACAAGCAGAACACCAGACACAAACATCTCTACGACATTCCCCGTGTCCGACTAAATCTATACAAAAATTCAATGTATGTCAAAGGCCCTAAAATCTGGAACACCCTACCTGAAAACTCTAGAACTGCAGACACATTCATCACCTTCAAAACTACCATTACAAAACATCTGATCTCCCTGATACACCCTGTCAACTAACTACATAAAAACAACCTGGTGGTTCACACTTACACTCACTCACTCACCCATTTGACTACAAGCACAGAAATACGTATCTTAATCTTAAAATAATGATTCCTAACTAGTCACAAGTTTGCCTGTGATACTCCAATATAGAAACTATGTATTGTGCCAAAACAAAAGCATTCACATTGCAAAACTCATAAACTAGTATTTAGTCACTTAGTATATTTAGTCACTTAGTATATTTAGTCACTTAGTATTTAGTCAACTTACTCCACAATTTGTAATAATTTAGGGTTAAGAATTAATCTAAGTTTGCCCGAAATGCCTAGCCTTGCTAGGTGTTCTAGCGGCCCCCTCTGCAATTAGTATTTTATTACGTGTAAACCACACAATAACCAAAATCTGTAAACCCTGCATTGTAATCCTTGTAGAGAATAAACTTTAATTTGATCTGATTTGATTTGATTTGATAAAACTTACAGCTGTTGGTGGTTCCTTTAATGAGCATTGGCTGAAGGTAATGTCATCAACTGCTACATCATACTGGGTGTTGCTCCAGAGAGATGAAAATTTGGTGCTTCTCACTTCAGTCTGTATGCATACAGATCCAAAAGATTATTTGATGGACAGCGTATTTATAAGGTAGAATTTTTTTTTATTCAGGTTTCAATATGAACCATTTACAAAAGTCACAGCAAGGAGTTGGCTAGACAATTATTTAATAAGCAATAATTAACATTACCTTGCAAGTCTGTCCCAGTACCCCACCTGCTCTTATGCTGTCACTGACCTTATGCAGAGTCAAACATGATCATAATTGAAAATAGGTCTAACTGTGCTAATACTATGTTAAAATTCATAAGAAACCAGATCCAAAGAAAAATACATGAGGTCTTGTAAATCCATTGAGATTATTCTTTAAAAAAATATTAAAAATGAATTTGATTTTGAATTGTATACTACGAGTTCAACTGTGGCATTCACACTCTTGCACTGTACAGTACCAAACATGGCTGCATTTCCTTGAATACAGTGCTGACCTATTTTGTATATGACATTATGAAATAAAATTAACAAAAAAACGAGAAAATTCCCAAGGTGGCTGCTGACAAATGAATGAACATGGTGGCTTAGGTAACAATGCCTAGATGCCAGAGGAGCAGGTGTGTGAGCTACTCCTACATATTCAAAATTTTGAAAGAATTTACATAACATTGAGGGAGAAAAAAAAATTGAACTGAAGATATGAGAGCTTTGAACTGAGGATCCTTAAGGTAACACCATATATCATATTAACCCTTAAACTGTCCAAGCAAATCTACGTTCACATGCGTAGTGCTCCAAAAGTAGATCTATGTTTTTTTTACATATTTTCAAATATAACAAAAAAAAAAGTAGATCAAAGTTTTTTACACTTTTTCAAATGTAAAAAAAAAAAGAAGATCTACTTTTTTCACATACTTTCAAATGTTGAAAAAACGTAGATCTACGTTTGGACAGTTTAAGGGTTAATAGGATATGGTGGCATAATAATCTTTACTGTTGAGGTAAGCTATAAAGAGCAAAGCCTGAGAAGTTTAATAAACAGAAGCTTTGTATGTACTGTACATTACACTTACTGTGAACTGAACAGTCTGTTCGCCAATAAACAACTGATTTTCATGCCATTCTTGACCCTGATAATAACATGGCAAATCTTTGCTACTTATTAATTCATGAATCTCATCAGTGGTCCATGCCATGATTGTTAATGTTGGTTCTTCTTGACAGTAATACCACAAACTCATAGTGCAGGCCAGACCTGAGGGTCCAAGAGCTGGAGTTTCCATTGTAGCTGTTGCTTCAGGAATATCTAAAAACAAATACTACATATCAGAAATGAATCAACTATATTTTTTAACACACCAACTGTCTCCTACTAAGGTAGGGTGACCCAAAAAAGAAGAAGCACTTTCAGTATCATTCACTTACTTACTGTCTTGCCAGAGGCACACCAATACTACAATTCAGATGCAACTCCAAACTTAATACAGCCTCTCCTCACTGAACGATGGAGTTCCAGTCCTAAGACCACGTCGGTAAATGAATTCATCACTAAGTGAGGATCATACTATAATGGTAGTGGGTTTGTGTCAACCATCACTGATATTGTTTTAATGTCACCTTTGCACCATTTATAACATTTCTGGTATATTTTTAAATGTTTATGCAGTAGTGTACTGTACATATATTGAAATAAAAAGAATAGAGGAAATCAGCTCTAATATACATTATTTAGGTATGCATACTGGTCAGTGAGCCCATCATAAACCCGAGGCATCAGTAAACGAGTACATCGCTAAGTGAGGAGAGACTGTATATCCTAACCCCTCGTTCTGAGGGCAGGCACTATATTTCCCATCTCCAAGACTTGAGTCCATCTAACTGGTTTCCCTGAATCCCTTCACAAAATGTTACCCTGCTCACACTCCAACGGTTCATCAGGTCCCAAAAACCATTTGCTTCTAATCACTCCTATCTAACATGCTCTCGCATGTCTGCTGCAAGTCCAAGCCCCTTGAACACAAAACCTCCTTTACCCCCTCCCTCCATTCTTTCTTAGGATGACCCCTACCCTACCCTCCCTCCCCTACGGATTTATACACCCTCTAAGTCATCCTATTTTGCTCCATCCTCTCTAAATGACCAAACTACCTCAGCTCCTCCTCAGCCCTCTGGATAATACATTTAGTAACTCCTCACCTCCTTATCTCCAAACTACAAATTCTCTCCATAATATTTACATCACACAATGTTCTTAGACATGATATCTCCACTGCCTCCAGCGTATTCCTCGCTGCAACATTTAAAACCCATGCTTCACGCCTATATAAGTATGATGGTACCACTATACTCTGATACACTCCCCTTTCTGCCTCCATGGATAATATTTTCTGTCTCTACAGCTTCCTCGATACACTGCCCATCTTTTTACCCTTGTCAGTTTTATGGTTCAACTCATGTTTCATAACCATGTCCACTGAAAAATTCTCCTAAATATCTGAATACATCCACTTCCCCCATATTCCCTCCTTTCAATATGATAAACAATCTTTCATCAGTTAAATTTTTTGTTACTATCATCACCCTGCTCTTTCTTATGTTCACTTTTGTTTTTCTATTACATACCCTCTCAAATTCATTCACCAACCTTTGCAACTTCTTTTTGGAATCTCCCTAAAGCACAGTGTCATTGGTAAAAAGTAATAACTTCCACTTTATATTAGATTCTTTATCTTGTAATCCACACTTCTCCTCTAAACACTAGTATAGTATATTTCTTTTACAGCACACATTTCTGTCTAAGGTCTACTTTTACTGGAATATAATTTCCCTCTCTCCTACATACTCTTACCTGAGTCTCACTATCCTCATAAAAATTCTTAACTGCTTTAACCTACCACCTGTTCCATATTCTTGCAACATCTGCTGCACTGCTTCCTTATCTACCTTATATGCTTTTTCTCAAACCATAAATGAAATGAAAACTTTCTTACAATTATCTAAATATTATTCACTTATATGCCTCAGTGTTAACACTTCGTCTACATATTTCCTACACTTAATGCCTTCTTGTACATCTTTGGGCCTGCTCTCTTTCTTACCCTTAATTCTTTCAATAATAACTCTACCATACACTTTACCTCATATACTCAACAAGCGTATTTCCCTATAATTCTTACACTCTCTTTTATCCCCTCTCACTTTGTACAAAGGAACTATGCATGCTCTCTGCCAATTACTAGGTACTTTTCCCCTTTCATATATTTACTGAACAAATGCACCAACCACTCCAAAACTATATCCCTACCTGCATGTAATATTTCTGCCTTAATCCCCTCAATCCTATCTGTTTTACCTCCTTTCATTCTAGCCACTGTCTTATCCTCCCCCCCCACCACCACACACGCACACACACATCTGGGTTTTGTTCACTCCTAAAATATGTTAAACCTCCTTGTCCAATGCATGAAATCAGTGACTTCCTCTCTTCGTCAAAATTTAACAGCTCCTCAAAACGATTACGAAAATTTATAGACTAAGGGAGAAGGAAGTTAGGGCAAGATATAAGCAACTTTTGGTAGAAAGGTGGGCTAGTGCAAGTTTGGTAGTGGGGAAGGTTGAGGAGGGATGGGATAGATTTAAAAATGCAGTATTAGAATGTGGGGCAGAAGTTTGTGGCTATAGGGGGGTGGGTGAAGGAGGAAAGAGGAGTGATTGGTGGAATGATGAGGTAAAGGGTGTGATAAAAGAGAAAAAGGTAGCTTATGAGAGGTTTTTACAAAGCAGAAGTGTTATAAGAAGAGTAGAGTATGCACATCAAAATGGTATACAATACCGACAGGTTGGTAGGTAAGACACATAGGCAATAGTTAGGCAACTTTATTCCGAAACGTTTCGCCTACACAGTAGGCTTCTTCAGTCGAATACAGAAAGTAGGCAGGAACAGTAGAGATGTGAAGACGATGTAATCAGTCCATCACCCTTGAAGTCGTAGATAGTTCCTGACTATGGAACTGAACTTCTCCAGGCTGAGGGACTGACAACCTCAAATTCTACGACTTCAAGGGTGATGGACTGATTACATCGTCTTCACATCTCTACTGTTCCTGCCTACTTTCTGTATTCGACTGAAGAAGCCTACTGTGTAGGCGAAACGTTTCGGAATAAAGTTGCCTAACTGTTGCCTATGTGTCTTACCTACCAAGAGTAGAGAATATATGGAGAGTAAAAGAAAAGTGAAGAGAGTGGTGAGAGAGTGCAAAAGAAGAGCAGATGATAGAGTGGGAGAGGCACTGTCAAGAAATTTTGCTGAGAATAAGAAAAAATTTTGGAATGAGATAAACATGTTAAGAAAGCCTAGGGAATGAATGGAGTTGTCAGTTAAAAACAGAGTAGGGGAGTTAGTAGATGGGGAGCTGGAGGTATTGGGTAGATGGCAGGAATATTTCGAGGAACTTTTAAATGTCAATGAAGGGAGGCAGTAATTTCATGTACTGGCCAGGGAGGTATAACATCTTTTAGGAGTGAAGAAGAGCAGGATGTGAGTATGGGGGAGGTGCATGAGGCATTATGTAGAATGGAAGGGGAAGGTACCTAGCATGTATAATTCCTTTATATAAAGGGAAGGGGGACAAAAGAGACTAAAAATTATAAGGGAATAAGTTTACTGAGTATACCAGGTAAAGTGTATTGTAGGGTTATTACTGAAAGAATTAGAAGACAGAAAGCAGGATTGCAGATGAGCAAGGAGGCTTTAGAATGGGTAAGGGATGTGTAGATCAGGTGTTTACATTGAAGCATATATGTGAACAGTATTTAGATAAAGGTAGGGAAGTTTTCACTGCATTTATGGATTTAGAAAGGGCATATGATAGAGTGGATAGGGGAGCAATGTGGCAGATGTTGCAAGTGTAAAGAGTTTTTATAAAGACAGTGAGGTTCAGGTTATGGTGTGTAGGAGAGAGGGAGATTACTTCCCAGTAAAAGTAGGTCATAGACAGGAATGTGTAATGTCACCATGGTTGTTTAACATTTTTATAGATGGGGTTGTAAAAGAAATAAATGCTAGGGTGTTGGGAAGAGGGGTGGGATTAAATTATGGGGGGGATCAAATGCAAAATAGGAGCTGACACAGATACTTTTTGCTGACATTACTGTGCTTTTAGGGGATTCTAAAGAAAAGTTGCAAAGGTTAGTGGACAAGTTTGGGAGGGCGTGCCCATTTGTTAATCGATCTTAATGAAGCGTTACTGAATGCGACAAATTAAAACCTTCTTAATATTTTCTGGCCGAGGTAAATCATGGATAACTGAAATCCCGGAAACCGAATCATTGGATACGGGGGTTCTACGATATCATAGTAGTGCAGGCTACAATGCCAGTATTTTTGGTGTCCAGCTGTTGTCTTCATTAGTGGAACAAGTCTGCTAGTTCAGATGACAACTGGAAGATCAGGAAAACTAATTTCATAATTTGGGAGTTGTGGACAATTAGCAATACAGTGGACCCCCGCATAACGATCACCTCCGAATGCGACCAATTATGTAAGTGTATTTATGTAAGTGCGTTTGTAAGTGTATGTTCGGGGGTCTGAAATGGACTAATCTACTTCACAATATTCCTTATGGGAACAAATTCGGTCAGTACTGGCACCTGAACATACTTCTGGAGTGAAAAAATATCGTTAACCGGGGGTCCACTGTATCGTACACCCTCTCAGCCCTATTAGTCCATTAATGAAAGGTTTCACTGTACTGCAGGATAAAACAGACCACACACACATTACAGAATTCTTCAGTACTTCAGTACAATCATTGATATTAGTGTAAGATCATCAGCCAATGATCCACAGCCTTCCATGTCAGCCCAGTAGGGTTACACCATCCCTCTGCACTCTTTAAAATCACTGTCATACACCAGCAACCAGAATTTAAGGTAAGAAATATTATTCATGTAACCTTTATTGATATAAGTGTTGTATTAACTAGAACACATCACTATATTGGCCTACAATTACATTATCATTGTTTTTAATGATTTTTGAGACATTTTTTTTTTTTGTGGTCTAAGGGGTCTAACCTTATTTTCATTGTGTATGTTCTTCAGTTCATTTTATACGATTTTTTTATTACACTGATCAGAAGATAATTGATGATCTACTATGTATTTTTTTTTTACATACTGGCCATCTCCTGCCAGAAAAAGAAACACTTTCACCATCATTCATACAATCACATTCTTGCCAGAGGCATGCATATATGACAGATCAGATGTTCCTCCAAATAGCAAATATCCCCACTCTTCCAGAGTGCAGGCACTGTACTTCCCACCACCAGGACTCAAGTCCAGCTAATGAGTAACTATTATTTATCTATTATATGGAAAACAACCATGGGGAGAGTTGAATGATGTAATGCATCTTCTATAGCTTGTTCACGATTTTTGTATATCTTCTATATATTAAAACTAAATGACAAAACAGCAAATTAAAAAACAGCTGCTTTTTTTTAAGCAATATTCATAATGGCATCCCTTCAGAAGGTGCCTTAAATGCTGGTAAAGAGCACTTGATCCAGAAAGTTGGAGCTACCTACTCATTCTTTAGATCATACCTGATTATCTCCCATTCCCTGGGCACAATACCACACTACAGATTTAGCATTTCACTATATAAACAGTATTAATATAAGGCATGAAAATATACATTTTATAATGTGAGAATAACAAATATGTATTATACAGTTTAGTATGTTGCTTGATACCAACATACTAAACAAAATACAGTAATAATGAGCTTGATAGCATAAGGACTGATAACATCATATAATAAAGTAAAACAATGAACTGATTCATATAGTGAAGAAGCAAGCAAATATGAATATACTACACTATACCTGAAAGCTTTGCAGGAGCCCACATATAATGTCCTTCCCCATTTAAAGTGGAGTGATCAAAGTTAGGCGCTGAACAATTAGGGTAGGAAGTATCAGCAGCTTTGATCCAAGACCAAGCATATGCAGTGTCGCTTACATCCTGCCAGCCACCATAGTCACTCTCAAAGTCTGTTGTGCCACAAAGTATCTCATCATCATTCCGTGGGCAATCCTTGTTAAAATCACACACCTTTGGGATAAATATTATATTCTTTAGAAAAAGAGAGTGAGAAATTAATTTTTAAAATCAGCCACTGGTAGGGCAGTTAAACACATTAACTTTATGGTATGCTTGCAGTACATGCATAAAGAGGTTACTATACAATATTTTCATGATAAAGGAAATTATATCAAAATTGAAAACAAGTGAAAATCCAATATAGATACATATAAAAAAATAGAGAAAATTAAAAGGAAATATTACAGGTAAAACTTGGGAGAAATTAAATGGTTAAGATGCAAAAAGGTAAAACAGAACATAAATAGTATAAGGTAGCCTGTTTGTCATTTAAAGACAAGAGCTCTGGATGTGAAGTCCTGTCATCTCCATCGTTATTAACTGTTAAGTTTGCAATTCCTGGATGTACTAATCTAACCTGGAGCCCATCCCAAGTACCACATTAGTTGTGAAGTATTTTCTAATATTTTTTCTTTCTCTTTTTTTCTTCAAAATGAAAATGACTCAGAAATCATTCCTTGTTTTGTATCCTTCTCTGCTGTGGGCCAAGGAAAAGACCCAACTAGAATATAAGCAATTTACTTATAACTGCAATACTTATGCAGGTGCTGTATGTTGGGTAATGGCCTTTGCCTCCAAATGCCAGGTGTTGTTTGCTTGTAATCAGCATTTCTTGTAAACAGAACACAACTGACCACAGGAGGGATTAGCGAGGTGCCAGTGAGAAATAGTTTAAGGAAAATCCTGTAAAAACCTGCACGTGTATGAAAAAATCAGGGAAAGGGAAGAGTGAAAAAAAACAAGAGAGGACATAGCAGAGAAGGCAAAACAGAGAAGATTAAGGAGTAATGAGACAGCAGAGTAGAGAGTAAGAAAGGAAAGTTGGGGGTAGAGAGAAACAGCAGTCACCTGATAATGTTCGATACATATAACTGAACCGGAGTCTTCTTCACATGGGAAAAATCCCTCCTCACAAGGGCCTTTAGTTGTGGTTAGAGGTGGTGGTGTTATCGTTGCTGGAACTATCAGACATTCAGGAGTGAGAGAGATATCGTCCAAACCAACTGATCCCCATTCTTGTATTTCTCCTTCCAGTTCAAACTGCAAAGTATTTTGTCATCATTATTATACATACATGTGCGTGTGTGGGTGTGTGTGTGTGTGTGTGTGTGTGTGTGTGTGTGTGTGTGTGTGCATGCGGGGTGTGTGTGTTGTGTGTGTGTGTGGTGCATGTGTGTGGTGTGGGGTGTGTGTGTGTGTGTGTGTGGTGTGTGTGTGTGTGTGTGTGTGTGTTGTGTGTGTGTGTGTGTGTGTGTGTGTTTGTGTGTGTGTTTTATGTGTGTGTGTGTGTGTGTGTGTGTGTGTGTGTGTGTGTGTGTGTGTGTGTGTGTGTGTGTGGTGTGTTTTGGTGGTGTGTTTGTGTGTGTGTGTACTCACCTAATTGTACTCACCTAATTTTTGGTTGCAGGGGTCGAGATCAGCTCCTGGCCCGCCTCTTTACTGATCGCTACTGGATCCTCTCTCTCTCTGCTCCTGAGCTTTGTCATACCTCTTCTTAAAACTATGTATGGTTCATGCCTCCACTACTTCACTTGCTAGGCTTATTCCACCTTGCTGAAAACTCTATGACTGAAGAAATACTTCCTAACGTCCCTGTGACTCGTCCTGAGTCTTCAGCTTCCAGTTGTGACCCCTTGTCCTGTGTCCCCTCTCTGGAACATCCTATCTCTGTCCCCTTGTCTATTCCCGCAGTATCTTGTATGTTGTTATCACGTCTCCCTGACCCTTCTGTCCTCCAGTGTCGTCAGTCCGATTTCCCTTAACCTTTCCTCGTACAACATTCCCTTGAGCTCTGGGACTAGCCTTGTTGCAAACCTTTGTACTTTCTCTAACTTCTTGACGTGCTTGACCAGGTGTGGGTTCCAGACTGGTGCTGCATACTCCAGTATGGGCCTAACATACACAGTGTACAGTGTCTTGAACGATTCCTTATTAAGGTATCGGAACGCTATTCTCAGGTTTGCCAGGCGCCCGTATGCTGCAGCGGTTATTTGGTTGATGTGTGCCTCCGGTGATGTGCTCGGTGTTATGGTCACCCCAAGGTCTTTCTCCCTGAGTGAGGTCTGTAGTCTTTGTCCACCTAGCCTATACTCTGTCTGCGGTCTTCTTTGCCCCTCCCCAATCTTCATGACTTTGCATTTGGCTGGATTGAATTCGAGAAGCCATTTGTTGGACCACATGTCCAGCCTGTCCAGATCTCTTTGCAGTCCTGCCTCATCCTCGTCCAATTTAATTCTTCTCATCAACTTCACGTCATCTGCGAACAGGGACACCTCAGAGTCTATTCCTTCCATCATGTCGTTCACATATATCAAAAATAGCACTGGTCCTAGAACTGACCCCTGTGGGACCCCGCTCGTAACAGGCGCCCACTGTGATACCTCTTCACGTACCATGACTCGTTGCTGCCTCCCTGTCAGGTATTCCATTATCCATTGCAGTGCCCTCCCTTTTACGTGTGCCTGATCCTCCCAGCTTCTGCACTAATCTCTGTGGGGAACTGTGTCAAAGGCCTTCCTGCAGTCTAGGAAAACGCAATCTACCCACCCCTCTCTCTCGTGTCTTACTTCTGTTACCTTGTCATAAAACTCCAGGAGGTTTGTGATACAAGATTTGCCTTCTATGAACCCATGCTGGTTTTCATTTATAATCTTGTTCCTTTCCAGGTGTTCAACCACTCTCCTCCTGATAATCTTCTCCATGACTTTGCACACAATACATGTCAGAGACACAGGTCTGTAGTTTAGTGCCTCATTTCTGTTTCCTTTCTTAAATATGGGGACTACATTAGCTGTCTTCCATTTCTCAGGTAGTTGCCCAGTTTCAAGGGATGTGTTGAAGATTGTGGTTAGAGGCACACACAGCATCTCTGCTCCTTCTCTAAGGACCCATGGGGAGATGTTGTCCGGTCCCATCGCCTTTGAGGTGTCAAGGTCACTTAAGAGCTTCTTCACCTCCTCCTCAACACTTGTTGGTATATTCCCTCTTGATGTTCCCTTCTGTGCTGTCTTCCCACAGCCCTTCCTGTCTCTACTGTAAAAACTTCCTTAAATCTCCTGTTCAGCTCCTCACATACCTCCTGATCATTTCTTGTGAGTTCTCCACCTTCTGTCCTTAATCTGAACACCTGGTCTTTGACTGTTGTCTTCCTCCTGATGTGGCTATACAACAGTTTCGGGTCAGTCTTGATTCTCGATGTTATGTCATTTTCATACTGTCGCTGGGCCTCCCTCCTTACCTGTGCGTACTCATTCCTGCTCTGTGACTGATCTCCCTATTTTCGTGTGTTCTCTGCCTTCTGTACTTTTTCCATTCTCTATTGCACTTTGTTTTTGCCTCCTTACACCGTCGGGTAAACCAGGGGCTCGTTCTGGTCTTCCCGTTGTTACTGTTGCCCTTGGGAATAAACCTTTCCACTGCCTCCTTGCATTTGTTGTTACATATTCCATCATTTCATTTACTGGCTTTCCTGCCAGTTCTCTGTCCCACTGGACCTCCCGCAGGAAGTTCTTCAACCCTATGTAGTCCCCTCTTTTATAGTCAGGCTTTTCCCATTCAACTCCTGTTATTCTCTCCACTTGCAGCTCTACTATGTATTCAAAGCACAGAACCACATGGTTGCTAGCTCCTAGGGGACTCTCATACTTGATGTCCTCAATATCTGAGCTGCCCAGGGTGAACACAAGGTCCAATCTTGCTGGTTCATCCTCCCCTCTCACTCTGGTAGTGTCCTTAACATGTTGGTGCATGAGGTTTTCCAGCACCACGTCCAACATCCTGGCTCTCCATTTTTCGGGACCCCCATGTGGCTCCAGGTTTTCCCAGCCAATCTCCCTGTGGTTGAAATCCCCCATAACCAGCAACTTTGCTCTGCTGGAGTGAGCTCTTCTTGCCACCTCAGCAAGTGTGTCCACCATTGCTCTGTTGCTCTCTTCATATTCCTCTCTTGGCCTCCTGCAGTTCTGTGGTGGATTATACATCACTGCAATGACCACTTTGTGTTCCCCAGACTGAAGTGTACCTGCTATGTAGTCTCTTTCTCCCGTCTCATCTATTCCTTCCATTTTCTCGAATTTCCATCTGTTTTTTACGAGCAGAGCAACCCCACCTTCCCCCCTGCCCCTTCTATCTTTCCTCATGATCTGGTATCCTGGTGGGAAGATTGCATCTGTTATTGTCTCCATGAGTTTTGTTTCTGTAACTGCTATGATGTCTGGGGACTTCTCATTGATTCTTTCTTGCCATTCCTCATGTTTATTCGTTAATCCATCTGCATTTGTGTACCAAACCTTCAACTTCTGTTCTAATACTGTAACTGTGGTGCGGGGGGTGGAAACAGAGGGATCGGTGTGTGATGGTTTGGATTGTTCAGTTGCCTTAGGGGTGTCATGGCTGGAGTCCTTCTGCAGGTGTTTCTGGGGGGTGCGCTTGTCCTTCCATTTGATCCTGGGTTATTCTGCTCTCCTTTTTCATTTCCTCCCATTTCTCCTTTCGTTTTTGAACTCTCTCTTTCATTGTCTTCCTTTCGTCCTGTGTTCTGTCTCGATCAAGATACACACTCCGGAACTCCTGCTTGCCTCTCAGCCGTGCTTTCTCCTGCAGGATCATGGTTCGGGTTGATTCTGCCTTGAAAATTACTTTGAGAGGCCGATTCTTTTTCTTTGTGAACCACCCAATTCTCCGAAAATTTGCCACCTGGGTCATGTCCCCCTCGCCTATCACCATGATATCTTCAATCGCTTTTTTCTCCTCCTGCTTTCTTTCATCATAAGTTTCCCCTTTAGCTTCGTCTAGCCCATAGACAAACACGGATCTTTCCCTTTCCACCTCCCACTGTGACTCCCATTGCATCCTCTGATGTGTTTTAGTTCCTTCCCGTGGAGTGTTCCTTCCTTCAGTCCCTTCCCTAGTTATGGCCCCTATGCTTCTTGGTTTATCCTTCCTGCTCACCTGCTCCTGGCCCCCACAGGTATCTGGTAAGGTCCTTGCACATGTCCTAGTTCCTTCAATGTCTTCCAACCTCTCATTCTGTCCTAGTGTGCTCTCTGTCTTTGTTTTGGCCCCATGTGGGTTTGACAGGACCTCTGCAAACAGTTTAGTTTCCATGCTTCCTTCAGACCTGTTGTCTGTGTTTTTGATGTAGCCATTGCCGATGCTACTTCTGTAATATCTTTGTCTCTGTGCTGTTTCAGATGTCTCAGCTCCTCTTCTAATCTCTCTATCTTGATTTCTGCAGCTGTGGCCTGTTGCTTCCACCTTCTGCATTCTGCTACTAACCTCTCTTCCATCTTCCTTTCCAGCTCATCTAGTCTCCTTCCCCAGTCTTCCTCCCTTTTTTTGAGCTCTACCTCCCATTCCTCCCTCCCAGATTCGTCCTTGGAGCCCCTTGTCCTCATCCTGGTTAGGGGAGGGGAATAGATGGTTAGGAGAGGGGATGGATGGTTGTGGGGGAGGGGGAGGATGGTTATTGGAGGGGTAGAGATAGTTGGGGGAGGGGGTTAGATGGTTTGGGGGAGAGAGGGGATGGATGGTTATGGGGGAGGGGGAGGATGGTTATTGGAGGGAGGGAGGTAGTTGGGGGGGTTAGACGGTTTGGGGAGGGGTTAGGTGGTTTGGGGGAGGGGTAGGTGGCTAAGGTGAGGTGGTTAGGGAAGGGGGAGAGGTGGTTAGGGGAGGGGGTACGTGTTTGTGTCAAGTGGTGGAGGGTGTGTGTGTGTGTGTGTATGTGCGTGTGTGTGTGCGTGTGTGTGTGTGTGTGTGTGTGCATGTGTGTGTGTGTGTGTGGTGTGTGTGTGTGGTGTGCGGTGTGGTGTGTGTGTGTGGTGTGCGTGTGTGGTGTGTGTGTGTGTGTGTGTGTGTGTGTGTGTGTGTGTGTGTGTGGTGTGTGTGTGTGTGTGGGGTGTGTGTGTGTGGTGTGTGTGTGTGTGTGTGGGGTGTGTGTGGTATGTGTGGTGTGTGTGTGTGGTGTGTGTGTGTGTGTGTGGTGTGTGTGTGTGTGGTGTGTGTGTGTGTGGTGTGTGTGGTGTGGTGTGTGTGTGTGT